AGGCTGTCCCTGACAAGAAGAAACTCAACACCCAGCAGGTTTACTTTGAGGGAGGAAGACATGAAACGCCTGTCTTCAAACTTGAGGATCTGGAAGTTGGTGACTCTATTCCTGGACCAGCCATGCTTGCGGATGGCACGCAGACAATCGTGGTTACGCCTAAGGCAACGGCGGTTATTCTCAATACTCATGTCGTCATTAACCTTGAGAAGGAGGGTTTAAAGTCTGAGTGAGTGTCTTAATCGTTATTTACTCTGCTGTACTAACACACTTTAGGTCCACCAAGACGACCGCAGACCGTGAAGTTGATCCCATTATGCTCAGCATCTTCGGTCACCGCTTCATGGCTATCGCTGAGCAGATGGGCCGCGCCCTGCAAAAGACAAGCGTTAGTACAAACGTCAAGGAGCGACTCGACTTTTCGTGTGCAATCTTTGATGCCACTGGCGGCCTCGTTGCTAATGCTCCTCATCTGCCTGTCCACCTTGGCTCAATGTCGACCTGCGTGCGACGCCAGGCCGAGATTTGGAAGGGAAAGCTGGAGAAGGGAGACGTCATCATCTCCAACCATCCATCGTACGGTGGCACTCACCTTCCTGATGTGACTCTCCTGATGCCGGCCTTTGATGAGAAGGGAGAGAACATTCTCTTCTACGCCGCATCGAGAGCTCATCACGCAGATATTGGTGGCATCAGCGCTGGAAGCATGCCTCCTCACTCGCGGGAACTGTTCCAGGAAGGTGCTTCTATCAGGAGCGAGAAGCTGGTGAGCGGTGGCAAGTTCAATGAGAAGAGAGTTGTTGAGCTCTTTTACGAAGAGCCCGCCAAGTACCCCGGATGCAGCGGAACACGCTGTTTGGCCGACAATATCAACGACCTGAGAGCCCAAGTTTCTGCTAACCAGAAGGGCATCTCGTTGATCGAGACTCTGATTGCCGAGTATGGCCAGGAAACCGTTCAGTTCTACATGGTCCACATCCAAAAGAATGCCGAGTTTTGTGTCCGTCGACTCCTGAAGGAGGTGCACAAGCGATTCGAAGGCAAGGATCTCTCAGCAGTTGATCACATGGACGACGGATCTCCTATTCGTCTCAAGATCCACATCGACGCAGAGAAGGGAGAGGCCGAATTCGACTTTGCAGGAACCGGGCCTGAAGTCTATGGAAATATCAATGCGCCACAAGCCATCACATACAGTGCCATCATCTACTGTCTGCGGTGCCTCATTTCAGAGGATATTCCACTAAACCAGGGATGCCTGAAGCCGATTCACGTCAAGATTCCTCCCAAGTCTATTCTGTCTCCGTCACCAGGTGCGGCAGTTGTGGGCGGAAACGTCCTCACCAGCCAGCGCATCACCGATGTCATCTTCAAGGCTTTCCAGGCTTGTGCAGCCAGTCAAGGCTGCTGCAACAACTTGACCTTTGGTTTCGGTGGTAACCAAAACGGAACCAAGGCTATCAAGGGTTTCGGCTACTACGAGACGATCGCTGGTGGAAGCGGAGCAGGCCCTGACTGGGAGGGCACCAGTGGAGTTCATTGCCACATGACAAACACTCGAATCACAGACTCTGAGATCTTCGAACGACGGTACCCTGTGCTTCTTCGCGAGTTCTCTATTCGATCGGGTTCAGGAGGACGTGGCCAGCACCGTGGTGGTGATGGTGTGATTCGTGACATTGAGTTCCGCATTCCCCTTCAAGTCTCTATTCTCAGTGAACGCCGCGTCTATCACCCTTACGGTTTGAACGGTGGAGGGGATGGAGAGTGTGGTCTCAACCTCTGGGTTCGCAAGGTGGAAAAGGCAAACTGGGAGTCTTCGCTGAAGCAGTTCCACGCCCAGGATGACACTGCCGAGGTCGAGTATGAGGAGAGGCACATCAACATGGGAGCCAAGAATACCGCTTCGATGAAGGCTGGAGATCGTATCATTGTGTGCACTCCTGGAGGAGGTGGATGGGGAGCTGAAGGGACAGAGAGCATAGCGAAGAGAAAGGTCGATCACACAGAGGCATGGAGGAAGGGCAGTGGCAGCGCGCGGGAAGAGGCGGCACTCCAGGCTTAGACGGCCAAGAAGAGGAGTTGGCTACCCGTTCGGTTGCATTTAGGAGCCGGCTGTAGGCTATCTACCGTAGCAAAAGAAAAGTGCCGAATGTATCTTGCGTGAATTACGACTCGTCACATACGTCCACTGCAACCGACATGCCTCCAAAACCAGGCAGAAAAGCTAGGAATGGCCAAGCCCTGTATTCACAGAGCCTCGAATACTTTCCTCAACTTCCACCCTTCCCCAGGGATTCCGCCAAGGGAGATATCCCGGAATAGCAGCGGCATCTGAGTCAGTGTTGGGTCCAGGATCCAAATCAGGAGTTGACTGAGGAGTTGCTCGACGCCACTATCGCCGATTGACACAAACGGCCTTGAATCATTGGAGAATTGATACAAGGGAGAGGGGTGGGTGTGGGATTGAGGGGAAAGACATTGCCGTGAACTGGGGACACAGATAGAGTCACCCTGAAACTTGGACAGGATGAGACATTTTGTTCCTTTCCCCGCCGAGAACCGCGTGCGTGATGGATCTAGCTGCTCTTTTCTCATTCTTGACATGTGATGGCTCGCATTATGCAGTTGTCTTGGTCAAAGCCTTGATATTGAAGACATCACGGCGACTCTACGGCTGAAGGCTTCATCCTCCCTTCGACCCCAAGACGGCTGATTCGTACGGAAAGTGACGAGTTGGTCATGTTGTGGTTGAAGGGATGAAGCCATGATCTGATCGGATAACTATTTTGGGATAAGTATAAACCCTTCTCTAAGCGAGATGGTCGTTGAAGCTATTTTCGTCCCATCTTGAAAGCCCGATCAAGCTTATTTTTACCCGGATGATAGACGGACCCCAAGAAACGTTTAATTTGGAACGCCTAAAGATAGGTAGAGAGTAAGTACGAGTAACTGGTTTCTTCTTGGAGAGCGGGATGAGATACTATCCGAGATGTTGTCTTTGGTTAGAATACGAGGACGGCTCAAGTTGAATGCCTAAGGGAGGAAGGTACCGCCGCCTACCTCTTTCTCGAAGCGAGCCGTCATCGTCCAAAAAGGAAAGAGCAAACGATGAACGTGAACCTGAGGACGCAACAGGAAGGCGCCAAATGCCAAATCCCCCTCGCTCGGCCTTTTCCCTCGTGACAAAACTTGGACCTTTCAACATCCCCGAGAACGAGAAACGAAACTCGCCCACCCACCACTGACTCAATCTTGCTTCAACCCCACGACGACAACCCCGACAATCTGGATCAATGGCGGCTGCGTCCGACTGCATGCATGTCCAACCTTAGGCAACAAAGATGCTCGCGAATCATGGTGCGACTCCCCCCGCGCGATCCTGGTTCAACTCGGACAAGAGGATTCTCTGCCCCAATCCAGACGGACCGAGCCTCGTTTGTTTACGGGCCCAGCGAATCCCAGGGCAACGCCCAATAAGCATCAGGCTTGTCTGCCACCCTCTTTAACCCTTGTCAGCCCTACGGGAATCAGCAGGGATGCTTGCATGGCCGCGCATTAGCTCGACCAGTGATGGACCGGGGCCGAGACATGTTTGGCCCCCAACCCCTTGGACTCTTTCAAGCTCAAAGGATCTTCAGTCGCCCCTAGTTGCCCCGTTGACCGGCCTTGTTCCAGTCTGACGCGCTGCTCCAGGCTCCAAGCCCTTCTGCCTGAATAGTGCCGGTGTAGCCTGGCTCTCTGCATATGTCACGGCCAATGACGGACTGTCCGCTGCGCCGCGGATTCAGGGATGCATATCAGCGAGTCGAAACTCGCGATTTAGGAGTTTTTCGACTTCGCGACTCACCTGAAGCGATCATGCGGTTTTCAGTTGAAGACAGGAAATTGTCTCATTTCTGGACAAGTCCATTCCCCTAGCGTCTGGTTTGCGGATTGGTTGATGGCATTGACCCTCGGGCAGAGAACCAACTTTGAGTGTATCGTTGTTCCTGTGGTTCGATCTAAACGGGCGAATGTGACAACCACCAACTTGCTTGATTGGCTCATCCAGTTGAGTGCCTGTCAATCAAGAAGGAGGTTGGGAATGTGGTGACTTTGGAGCAAGTCTTGTCACAACTGGATGTCCATATCCACCGTGAAGACGAGTCTGTGGTCATTCTCGACTGCATATCCCACCTGCTTTAACCATCATCCCACAGATAGGGTCCCCATAGGGCTGAATTCAAGGCACCCCAAGGCGTCTTTCCTTCTAGACGTCTCGTGCCGTTGGTTGTACCGCTCTTGTATCTCTTGCAGTTGAGCCAAGCATATTTCAGAAGTTTCTGACATAGATGTACAACCACTACCTCAGACGCAACGTGCCACATGGGTTACTCCAGCCCACACTCGAGGTCACATTCTCTCGGGACTTCTTTACTTTCCGCTTCTTTCCGCGATTCTTTTGGGTACCTTTCACATTCTCGAGCGCCTAGTGGCGCCTCCAGTCTTGATATGGCCCCCTTTACTTGACAATTCGGACGTTTTGCCTGAAGGGGTATCTATACACACTCCGCCGTTTACGACGACGAGGCGATGACAAGACTGCCTTCAGTCGGCCGAATCAACCTGCGGGTGTTTCTGTACTGGCATTCGTCCAGTATCCACCTGTTGAATTCACGGCAGACTGTCATGAGTTGCGAGTGGCTCTTGGCCCAGACAGAGGCCGCGAATTGCTTGCTTTGAGGGCTTCTGCCTGTGACAAACTCTCCTGGCTGTGTTTTTGTTTCTCGCCTTTGAGTCATACGGATGTCCCAAGGGCGCAGTGTCTGTACAGGTCTCTCAAGATGGTGAAGCTTGCGTCAAGTGTTTAGGTTGCGGCTCTGCTCGTACTGCTTTGAGGCACTGCGTGGGAGCCCAAGCACAGCTCCAGGATAGAAACTATTTAGACCCAGAATCCCGCGGCCTGATGAAGCCTCAGTCACACTCTTCCCTACTCCTTCCTCACTACCCAAGGCATCATGATGAGAATAGCGATCGCTGGAGGCTCCGGCCTCGGATATCTCCTGGCCAAAGAACTCTCTGAGGCTGCAAACGCCTACAACGTTGTTGTGTTATCAAGATTCGTTAGTCTCCTTCCTTTCAAGACTATCAAGCTCCTCTAACTAGGAATAGGATCGGTCTGATTACTATGCGTCACTCGATGTCCAAGTCATGCAAGTCAACTACGACGACTTCTCGAGCCTAGCATACGCCCTACACGGGGTCAACCTCGTCATATCCATCGTGAATGGAAACGAACAACTCAACTTGATTAACGCTGCTGCCCAGAGCGGCGTGCAATACTTTGTACCTCGCGAGTTCGAGGGATCCATCGAGAAGCGGCCGGGAGACCCTGATCCCCTTGACCCAACATCAACTTCATCACAAGCAAGACAACTGTTGCGGAGGTGGGCTAGATCGTCATCCATGAAATGGACTGTCTTCTCTTGTGGAATCTTCATGGAAAGATTCCTGCCTCAGGGTCTCGGGAGCCTTACGATCGGATATGGTGCCAACCTGGCTGACCCGGGTTCCTACCTGCTCGACGTCAACAGTTACACAGCTGAGTATGTGGAAAAGAATGCCCAGGGTCGTTCTGTCCGCGTCTGCATGACTTCTGTCTATGATGTCGCCCGGTTTGTCGTCGCAGCGATCGATCTCGGGCCTGCGAACTGGCCTCGTGAGCTCACGATGCGTGGTGATCGGGTGACACTTCGAGATGTTGTTGGCCAGTGTGGAAGACAACTGAATGGTGAGTACCAGATCCAAAGGCCGTGTCAACACAAAAGCTAAATCATCTACAGCTGCTTTCCAGCTTTCCCAGTGGCAGCTTGCCGATCTACCACAGCTGACAAACATGTCCTACGAGCAAGGTGACTTTGCAAGAGTTTCCTTCTATCAGCAGCTCCAAGCAACAGTCGAAGGACGATACGACTTTGGACAGACCTCGCTGAATGACATGGTTGATGCCAGCCCGTCCGTTGACGTTCAACCAATGAGGTTCCGTGACTGGTTGGCCGCGTACTTCCCTGGGTCCGCCTAGGGGAGTTGTGTTTCATTAGAACTCACATTCTTTCTTGTATTACTTAGGGATGGCTGGACACGATTCAAGGTTATGTTTATGGGTATGTTGGTATGAACTCTCCTTTCATTTTCATTGTTTAAGAAGCTGGTGTTTGGATAACGCTGAGCTCGCGCTCGGGTTGGGATTTGGTAGCAAGACAATGCAATCCACTGCGAAGCTGGTATCGCAGCTCTTTCGTTGACTCATTTTCATTCTCTTCATCATTCTCATTATCATATCATGCGTATATATGACTCCTACGGCATGTGCTGCCGTTGCACCCAATCATGACGCCTGTTGAACTCCAAGCCGTCGGTGTTGAACATGACCCCCAAAACGCATCTAAAGTGTATCCCGCCGGTGACTTGCACCTCATGATGCTCATCTATAACACCCCTGTTTATGATTTTTCGCCAACTAAGCCTCCTCGTTTGCCTTTTCCTCTCCCTCCTCAGGGCTGAACTCGTCTCCATACTCCTCAACGATCCACAGACAAAACTTTTCCCACTCAACTTGCCATTCTTGCATCCTCTTGGCCTTGACACTATCACCAAGGCTGGCTTCCTTAATACCCTTGACCCACTCTGTCTGGTTCTGGTCCTCAAAGGCAGACCATCTGACACTATTCTCGGCAAGACTACCCAGACCAGCGAGACCGAGGTTCTTCCAGCCCTGCAGCGCCTGGAAGAAGTCGTGAGACATGCCCGCGGTATCCTGGCCAAGCATGGCGGGGTCATCGTTGCAGAGACTGCAGGCGACTCCGCGCGCAAGGAGGGCAGGGAGGGGGTGGGCTGTCACAGAGCCGCAGAGTCTGAGGACCTCGTTCGAGATGGGGCATGACTCGATAAGGATGCGCTTCTCCTTGACCATATCGATGAGTAGAGGGTGCTTGAAAAGACTGAAACCGTGACCGATACGTCGGGTTCCGAGTAAGATTGCATCAAAGAGGTTTCCGTCTGTGTCTGTTCCATCTCCCAATGTCTCTCCAGCGTGGAAGAAGAAGGGCAGGTTGACGCCCTCCATAGCACACTGCTTGCGGAACCAGAACAGCTCCGGGAGTAGATCTGACAGTGGCCGGCCCAGATCTTCAGCTCCCACGAGATCGTAGCCGGCAATCAGGTCAGGGAAGTTGATCTTTGTGGCGATGCAACAGTCCATGTTTTCGATAATGTCACGGGTGGGAAGTCGGCGGATGGTCGTCCAGATGGTGGTGAGACCCCAGAATCCCTGACCCTCTGGCGAGCTTTGGAAGCGCGAGACCTCTTCCCTGATGACCTCGAACATGTGGGTATAGTCCTTCTCGGGCTCCTCATGCTTGTCACGGCAGTAATCGAGGGGCCATGTGAACCTATTATTCAATGAGATGAGCAAATCGGATACATGTTTGGTGTTGACTCACCGGAGCTCTGCCCAGCTGACACCGTCTTCCTTGAGCGTCTTCATGAGATGACACAGGAATACTCGAAACATGGGTTCATAGTGGATAATAGTGGCAACGACGACGAAGCATTTGGCAAACTTGACCCAGATTGCGTCAATGCCGTGGTGTTGCTCATGACTGTCTGTAACTGAGAGGACGCATCTGCCCTTGAGCCACTTGAGGAAACCAGACCTCCCGCCGTTGGGGAAATCATCGGCCACCTTTGTAAGTAGTAGAAAGTTCTCAGGCTTATAGGAATCCTCCCAGATGGAACCGTCAGTTCTCTCCTTGGCTCTGTATCGGAACTTGAGGGCCGCATCCTCCTTCGCGGCCTCGGTGGTGAGTGGCACGTCACTCGACATGTGCATGCCCGGCATCTTCATAAGTTCCTCGAGGATAAAGTCAAAGTTAACCATGGCGTCCATGTGGGCGTGGAGGAGGGCACCCTTGGGCATGCGGCGAACAATCTTCCACAGGTCCGTCCTCTCCATTCGATCTTTGGCGAGCATGAACATCATGCCGGGGAAGAGACACTCGTTTCCAGCTTGAGAGAGCTCTTCCTCAACCTGAGGCGTCCAGACGGTGGCATTCTCATGGTCGCGGATGCGGTCGACAATGTCACAGGCACGCTGGGCGATAGGTGACAGAGAGGCCTTGAAGGATGTATCGGAACGGGTCTTTTGCTCCTGGGCTATGAGGTTGGATCGGCCAGTGAGATATTGTTGCAAAAAGGGATCAGAGAGAGAGGGTATATCTTGAGCGACCTCCTCCCACTCCTCGTTGGACATTGTGTGTTCTCCAGCCATGGTTGATAAGTGTTTGCAGGTCCGCGGCGAATGAGAAGGGACCTTTTGATATTGAAGGCGGTGATCTTAAGGTTGCCTTGATTACTTGAAAGGTTTAAAAGCAGCAAATATGGACGAAAACAGACGCAGGATATATATGTCGCTCCAACCCGGATATGGCAGGTCGGTGAAACCTGGATACTGCGGGGAGTGGGACAAGTGGAACGGACTGGTGAGCTTGTGATCTCACTCGAGATACAGTGGCCACGTTGTTAAGATGGTAGAAGAAGTTCACGATAGGGATAGAGAGTTGAGGAAGAAAATAGATAGAGTATCAGCTTGTGGAGGTACTAGGTATGATCGCAAACGAAACGGTCGTGGGGAATATGCATGCGTAACAGACGGTGAAGCTCTCCACAGTGTAGTCTGCTAGGGTCCGCCGTACTTTCCGCTTGCGTGCGTGGAGCAATGGTCCCACGTGACCCTGCACATGTCACCACCTGACACCCAACACAGCGTCTCACCAACATCTGTCGATCTCTCAGCAACAGACGCTGGTTCGTCAAATGCAGATCCGGCCCTTTGTCACCTCCAGGATCCCGCATCGTCACATCACCTTTGGCCAATCTGCGATCCAAGACAATGTCTCTGTCGGTTGGTGGCTGAGGGGCAAAACCCCATTTCTCACGACTCCTCTGCCCCATCTGATGGATTCTGCAGCTGCAACCTTGCAATCTGCCAGACGCTTCTTCCTGCGCTGTGCCTTGCAGATGGGCAAAATGTCACGAACGGGGCCCTCGTCATCAAACGGCCGACCATCCATGGCAGGGGAAAACAGCTCAGGCTTGGGGGTCTAGTGCAGCCATCCTACTAGCTCGCGCCTGTTCCTGAGCCGCCATTCGCTCTGGGTGCCTCGTCCTAGACTTTTGCCCTATAAGCGCGAAACCCATGAGGCTCCCAATGAGAATCTCCACGTCCATCACTCCTGATCACTTCTCGTCACCTGCACGACCCATCACAGACTCGAGCTTCAAAAGTCAAGATCGACGACGACACCTTTTAGTGATCAATGCCTTCCTTCACCGCTTGCAACCATTTGCAACCATTTGCAACCCTTCGTGTCCCATCCGTTGCTGAGGGGCTTGCTTTTGCCCCCAGTCCCCATCTGACTTGATTTCCCCTGCCTCGCTCAACTAACCCATGGCCCAACAGCATACGCAGGTCTCGGTCTGTTGGATGCCCATTCCACGCAGGAAAGCGCTCATTTGCGCTGATCCCGACGAGTCCGAGCTTGATGTGCGGAGAGACGGCATGATCAAGCCCGTCAGCGAGGTTTGTCAGAGAACTACTTAAAGGTCCATGTCTGTCGTTGTTGGTGATGACTTCTACTTCCTCATCGTGCCTACCCTCACTCGAGCCAAACAAGTTGCTTGACTCTCAGACAGAGCCTTCTTTTGCTCAACTCTTTCATCTCGCTTGAACCTGCCATCATCTGTCATCTCTGTTCCATCCTACACATCTCCAAAATGCGCTCCTCTGCTCTCCTCACCCTCTTTTGTTCCTTGGCTCTCGCCGCGGTCATCCCTCGAAACACTGTCTGGGATAACCACTGCTGCTTTACACTACATGACGTTTCAACTGGAGCCACCGTCCAAGAGAATGATGCCAATGGCTACCTGTTCTTCAACGCGGGCCAGACCGACGGCTTCTTCTGCATTGACTTGACCAATCCGTTGGACCAGTTGAGGGACCATCTCTACAATGCCTGTTTCATCAACCCTCCGGATGGTTCCGTCAAGTGTATCGATCCCACTCCCGGCTTTCAGTCGTGGACCCTCAAGAAGGTTGGCAGCGACACGCTGCTTCTTCATGATGGAGACAGCACCTTCAACCATTGCCCCAAGCCCTCAACAAGCACCAAGGGAACTGTGCTATACAGCAATAACCACCCCAATGTGGCCTCATGCAAAAAGACGACTCTCAAGGCCAAGAACTTCCAGGGCACATGCAAGAACTTCTCTGCTCGCTCCGAGGTAGAATAGTCGTCCTCCACGTCGTGCGAGCCCGGGGGTTTTCAAATCAGCCCCACGGACTTTTCGGTTGCTGGGCTGTGGCATTGTGATGCTCGGTCTCTTGCCCGAGAACGCCTAGCTGTCATCTCAGAAGACTCGAGTACCACATTTCACTTTGAGGTTCCGACTTTTTCTGCTCCTTTTGCGTCAAGCCGCATGACTACATGTGGTCTCTTCTTTCACCTTCCTTTTTGCAGCGATTTACGTCATGGTTATCCATGTTACGAATGGACAGGAATGATGTTGGAATCCCTGTCCAACTCGGCTATGGCTTGGGAACTTGTCAGTAAGGCCGAAGAGTCCACCGACTGGATTGGTGAACCTATAGTTGGACCGGTTCCTGGGGACCGCGTGTTGATTGGTACTTTTGACTGCACCGGAAGCACATTGGAGAGACCCGTTCGCCACATGTCTTTTCAGGCAACAGGCGTGAGTGGTTGGAGTCTCAAGTATAACCAAGCAGGGGTGGGAAACAATTGGCAAGATGGGGTTGGGGTGTTTGTTCACCTGTGTGCGTGAGTGTCGAGATGGCCTCTTATGGGATGATGGAATGGTGGTTTGCTACACTTGGATTGTATTTCTTCTTGTACACACTTTCAACTGACGGAGAGTCGGTTTCCTTATTGGACTATAATTCTTTCAAACTGACCTAAAGAACCATGACTGTGATCAAAGTTTCGGAGAGATGTCCTTCGCTGTCCCTCCGTAGACAATACTGATGTCTCGCGCAAGCTGCTCAGCAGGCGAGGTCTTTGCTCGCTTCTCAATGATGGATCTGTTCTCCAAGAAGCGATAGAAGATGTCAAGTGAAACCTCGTCTCCATCACTGGTCGAGTCAACGTATAGCAGCACCGACACTAGTAGATCCGCAACAGCCCAAAGGACCTCCCTGGCGTCTCCCATGAGATCTTTCAACAACTCTCGTTCGATGAGGTTTCTCAAGTCGCGCCAAGCGTTCAGCGGATTCCATCCAACAGGCTTTGGCGTCTTGGCCTGGAAGTCAAAGCCATTCTTGATGAAAGCTTCAAGAGCATCCAGGGCATCTCTGCCGCCCTTGGGATGCTTCAACGCACGGAGAAAGTCGGTGCTCAAGACGTCAGTCGTTCCCTCCCAGATGGGCAGGACGGCACAGTCACGGTGAAGACGGGCGACGTTGAGGTACTCTTGCTCCTCGTTGAGGAGATAACCTACACCGCCGAGGGACTCCATGCAGGAGAAGAGTAGCTGAACGGAAGCTTTGCAGACGTAGGCCTTTGTCAGTTGGGTGAGGACCCGGATCAGGGGTGGTGCGTCTTTAGCCGACGGCGTCAAGGCTGCAAGAGCGGGTGGCAGGTTCGCGTCGACTGGGTGCTCTGAAACACCCAGGACATGGGCTGTAAGCATCGTCAGAAGCATGAGGCCTCGATACTCGGAAGTCATCTTGGCCAGGGTCCTCATGTGCAGCGAGCTTTCGATCAGCTTCATACGGGCGCCCTTTCCGGCACCAATCTCTCGAACTCGGGCGTATGCCCTTGCGATACCCAGGCCTCGTCCAACGTAGCTCATGGCAGCGACCGAGGAGTGCACTCTGGTGAGGGTCAAAACGGTAGAGATCTCGTGAATACCACGGCCCTCCTGGCCGATGAGCCATCCTCGCATATCTTCAAGGACCAGTTCGGCAGTAGGGAGAGACTGTGTGCCAGACTTGTTCTTAAGGCGTTGAATGCGGACGCCATTGAGGGCTTCGCCGTTTTCTACAGGACGGCCTGTGGATGTGGTTGCTTGAGGGTCATGCTTTCTCATGGGAGCAAGGAATGTTGAAAGTCCACCCTTGGCGGTACGGGCGAGGAGGACTGTCATTCTCGAATCTGTAGCTGAAGAGAACCACTTGAATCCGTTGATGCTCCAAGGGCCAAGGGGAATGTTCTCGATCTTTGAGGCAAGCTTAGCTTCAGGAGTAGGTTCGTAGATTGCCGTGGTTTCGGTCAATGATACGTCGCTACCACCTGTACGCTCAGTCATCCACTGGCCACTAGTCCAGGCATAGGCTGGATCTCGGGAAGTCAGGTGGCTAAAGGCGTTCTCAAGAACTTTTGTCTGGTCTTCTGTGAGTTTTGCTCTCAGTTCCGGTGTGCGTAGGTGTGTTTGAAGAAGCCGGGCGGCGCCATCCTGCATCGCTGATGGACAAGTGACGTTTGCGCAGGATGCCGTCCAGAGCTGAAGACGGAGGAACTGGTATGCTCTGGAGAAGGGACCGTAAGGAGTATCGTATCCAGCGGCGACGAAGCTACATATCGTTCAGTCTATCGTCTCTTGGACTTGGAAGACAACTTACCCATGAGATAAGCCAAAGTTCTGAAGGCCACGCCATCCCTCACCCGTGACCAAGTCACCCTTCCATTGTCCAAATACATCACGACCAGAACCTTTGAGATAAGGCTTGTTCAATTCGGCATCGGTGATCCAGGCAAAGACTTGGTCGGAGAGGACCTCATCTGCCAGGGTTGCTACTTCAGCCTCGACCTGGCGCACGATGTGCTGCGGAAGAAAGACTAGCAACATTAGCAGCTAGAAAGCAAGAGTATGGTCTTTTCTCACGTTTAAAACATCTCTGGTAGGTCGCATCATCATGAAACTGATTCTGCAAAACAGGGGGCTTCTGAAAGAAGCCTTTGTCTGCTCCCGACGCCTCCATGGCCGATTATGAACAATGTACGCAGCATTACTGTAAAGCCTCCAGGCTTGACCTGTCGCAGTTAAGTAGAGTTCAATCACAAGTCGAGGGTTGCATCTCGTTAGGAGAGCCCGGTAATTTGTGGGGTACCGAGGCATGCTCCGCGCCGGGTTTGGAAGGTCGCGCGGAAGTAATTCCGTGCGGAATGGCTTCATGGGTGTTGCCAGAGCGGAATGAGTCTGGGGTCATGCGCTGATCTGATATGGAGGTGGGTGACATTATGAGAATATGGAGAGGTGGTTGGTTGAGCTGAGTTTCTTGAGCTGGGGTCTGGTCATGCTCGGTTGTAGGGGATCCTCTGTTATTAACTTCCGGATGAGAGAGGCGGCAGATTGGCTTGCTTGTTGTGTTCTGCTGTTGGTTGTTGAGTAGCAACGACTTCACCCCTGCCTCTACTCATATGTTGGTCGGCTTCTTGTGCTTGCGCATTATGAAGATGGGATAATAATAGCGGCCTCTTAAACGGACGTCAAAGGAGTACCGCGGGGACTTTACATTGGAGTCGCAGCTTTCAAGTAACGAGTTTGCTGTAGTCTAAGGACCCCATCACACTAAGGAAACGGCGCCAAGTATAGAACCAAAAGCATCTTATCGCATATACCGACAATTATATCCGGGGAAGGGCAAGTGCCGACGCAGACGGGGCCGCTGCTGTTGGATCAAATAGAACTGACTCTGAGAGTTGCCGACGTTAAAGCTGGCTCGGCCGAATCCGAATAAACCTCCCGTAGCAACCCATACTGGTGATGTTATAACATCATCCATATAAGATCGAGTGTACGCGAAATCACAGATGACAGATGCTGGGCCGGTGCTCATGGCCTAACTTGGTCATGGATGATGATAGCCCCTTGGCGCCACCGTGAAAGGTTCGTCACGATGCATTTCCATGATCAGTTCAAGATATACAATGTGGACTTTTTGAAGCTTATGTTGTCTTGGAAATGAACTCATGCATATCTCGGCAAGTCTTGGGCCGAACAGGCCAAGGAATAGGTAGTGTAAACGACGAGCAGCATCCCATGACAGCAGGTTTTACAGACAGGCCATAAGACAACCAGTGGTGGCTCTAGCTGAAGCATCCAGCTATTTGTCAAGCAGTGTCATAAGCTAGTTCATCCAACTTGGCAATTTGATATGCCAGGAACCATCGCTCTCCATAGTAACGTCCTTCTCAGAGCAAGCCAGAATATCCACACAATAAATCAAGTCGAGTCAAAAGGCCAAGACATATCGCGATCACTTGGCTCTCGTGCGCATTACTTCAGCCAAGATCCGATGCCGGCCACGGCACCTCATGCATCGGCAATGCTCCCACTTCCACGATCCTTCATTCTAGACCGATTCAGAGGCCTCACATTTGTTAGTCCAAGTCGAAATCTACGCAATCATGATGGTGGCGCAGAAACGCGACAAAAAGTCTTGATGCAGGGTCCAAGAAACGCTGTTCCACTTTGGCTGCGCCGCATGCTACACGTAGGCGGATTGCGAAATACCCCCATCACCAACTTTTAACTAGCAAAAGGATTTGTTTCAAAGAGTTGTAGCAAGATCAAACGCCCAGGAAAAAAGATCGTCGTCGTCGTCATAATGGCACCTTGATATTGCCCAGCTTCTTGTTCTTGGACCATGTAAGAGGCTCTAGTAAGCGTCTTCTTGGCGTGCAACGCATCCTTTATCGCATCCGGCACTTGGCTCATGAATGAATCCCAGCCAGAGAGTAAAGGATTATCCCTTGGCCTCGAGATGTGATTTGTCTGTTGAGCATTGACAAGATGTGTGTCGTCGAATCACACGTCGCCTTGTCCTGGTCCGCATGACCTCATTTGGGCAACCCTGGATGACCACGAGCCACGTCAAAGGAGCTTGAAACTACCAACCTCGAGGCTGTGGGAGAAGAAGAAGAAAAACAGGCTTCGTTTTGTTGGGGAGGGCGTCATCGTCATGTGGCATGCTTCTTGGAGGGACGCGTGAGTTACCGTGCGAGTCACATAAGATAAATAATCAGTGTGATCCTGTGTTGCAGCTTTCGAAAGATCTCAGTGTGTTCCACCAAGAGTAACAATCTGCTGCGTTGGGTTGAAAATCTGCTGCGGTTCATCCTCTTTTAAGAGAGCTCAGTTAAAGAGCCAGTCACAAATCACTCACATCACCTTTCACACCCTTTACTACATCTCACAGCCATGGCTATCGATCGCATCGTCAGCCTTGTTCTTCGCGCCGCGGAGCTCGTCTTTGCCGCCATCGTCGCAGGCGTCAACGGCGAGTATCTGCACAAGTCTGATGGTGCCAGTGCATGGCAACTCGGCCGGTTCATCTACACCGAAGTGGTGGCTGCACTGGGCATATTGTTCTCTCTATTGCTCCTCATTCCCTTCTCAAGCACCTTTATCCACTGGCCTTTGGACATTTTCATGAGCATCAACTGGTGGATCGTCTTTGGCCTTCTCGTCGATGTAAGTCACACACCCTCACCTTCACTACACCACTTGAACATCATAACTAACTGCTCGTCACAAGTTGATTGGAGACTCTTGCGGTCGCGTGTTCAACTGGGGCAACGTCCATCCTATTCACGGCGATCAGTGCGGCAAGTTCAAGGCAACCATCGCCTTCAGCTTCCTCTCGGCACTTCTCTGGCTCGTCTCTGCCCTCGTCGGCTTCTTCTGGGTTCGCCGCCGTGAGCGCACCGTCGCCCGCGCCGATGCCGCCCACTACAACCGCCGCAGGCAATGGTTCCGCCGCAGCCATGTCTAAGGGACCGCACTGACTCTAAACAAGCTTTGAGAGTTTCAAGACTATGTCCTGGTTTTTTTTGAGTTGGCGGCTACTTGCCGAGCCTTGGCGAATACCGTGTTGTACCTTGGGGCATTCCGATTTCCCGCGCTGGGCGCAGACTAATGGGGACATGTGTGGCTGTTTCCTTGTTTTCTTTGTCTTTTTGAGTTGGAGCTTGTTGGAATTGAGTAACGCAACTTTTGGATACCCTCAAGACGATGGACAAAGCTGTTACCTAACAATAATGAAAGCATTTCTTTTGTGATCTAAACAAACCTGCTCTTGTCTTTTCGCCTAGTGAATGAGCATTCGCCTCTTCAAAATCCCATCCTGATTATCAGATGCTGAAATTTTGAGCCCTCCTGATGCTGGTTCGACGTCATCTCTCCAAACTAGTGGAAGATCCTCCAATATGAAACAGCCGAGACAGCTATCATGATCTGCAACTCTGAAAATCAGAATACAAGGTTCTCAGCGGCACAGTAGGTTCTCGCCGGGTTATCAGTCCGTATCACTGTGTGACACGGCGGCCACATCCCGTCAAGGCTTCCATCGGGTATTTTCCCGACTAGACAGGCGGGTCGAAAAAAACACCGCCGGTATCAGCACCAAAATTGTATGGGGAGAGCCGCGGTGATTTCTTCGACCCGCCTGCTAAAGTAACCATCGGGGAGGAGAATCCCAGTCAGCACTTGTTTGCAAATTCCGTCTTAAACCCCACAACCATCGAGATCTCCCTCAGACAAAGGCCACGCTTTTCTCATGTGCCTGTGCAGGGGCACGGCCAACCGCGAGGTTGGTTGGTGGAACTTGGTCTCAGGCTTAGCTCTCAGAAACTAGCAAACGGCAAGAGGCACAGTAGCAAAAACCTCCGTCATTGTGGAACCCCGTGACCCTGATTTGCAGAGTTCTAGAACGCCCTCAGGGCTCTTGGTCTTGGCTTGAAAGACGGTCTGGTGTTTGTGTCGTGGTTTAGGTGCCATGTCGGAAGAAACGGCCACCTGTGGCGTCATGTATTTCGTAGCTTGTAGGCCGTATCCAAGTTTGGAAGTGCGGGGAAAACTAGGGGAGCTGACGCCACCACAGCCACAGAACCATCGCCACGCTTGCCTAGACCCCACTTGCGTCACTCCTCCTGCAGAATGCCTCCTTGAGCCTCTTCCGTCATGCTCACAACTGGCTCTCCGTATTCTCCACAACAAACCGCTTGGCGACATGACTGGACAAGCAAGAATTTCCGTTTGTGATCATGCCTCTGCTCTATTTACGAATCGTCAACGTCACTTCCCGCGAGGTATGACGCTACCATTTCCCCTGACCTGACCGCAGAGTGCGAACCGACCCGTCGCCCAATCGCACAACAAAGACAGGCTCGGCGGCAGAGGCTTGATGGGTAGAGATCTGTGAGATTGGATTGCGCTATGACGCGGGATGAGGTCGGCGGAGGGCGACAGCCGTGATGCAGAATCCCGGGCATTGCCTGCCTTGGTTTGTGAATGCCAGGTTTGTCAAACGCGAATTCAGGCATGAGGCAGGCGACATCGAGATGGAGGTTTCCATACAGATGAAGTCAGCTATATAAGATGCAAGACATCTCGCTGTCTACAGATCTGATTCATTATCATCAACACCTACAAAACAACAACCTCAAGATACCCAAAACCTCTTATTTCATCCCCACCACCACAAGATACCCATCACCTACACAACACACAGCAACCATGTCTTCTCTCATCAACAAGGTCAAGGAAGCCATGCACTCGGACAGCAAGTCCACCGAGCAGCCTGAGGGTACACACGGACCTCACTCCTCCAGACCCGCCAACACTGCCGATCCCCGAGTTGACTCTGACCGCGATCACCGCGCTGGCCACTCCTCCAACCTCACTGGCACTGGTACTACCACTGGCACTACCACTGGCGATTACTCGACTGGCACCAACTACACCACTGGTACCCATAACACCCGTGGCACCGGCGGCCCTACCACCACCACTGATGGCCCTCACAAGTCCAACGTCATGAACAAGATGGACCCCCGAGTCGACTCTGACCGCGACCACAGCCGCAACATGGGAGCCAACACTCACGGCACCTCTGGCACTGGCGCCTACAACGCCTCTAACTCTACCCGAACTGGTGGTATTGGTGGCACAACTGGTATTGGCGGCACAACTGGCACAACTGGCTACTCCAGCCGTGACACTTCTCTTCCTGAGGGCACTACCGGCCCCCACAGCTCTCGCATGGCCAACGCCGCTGACCCCCGTGTCGATTCTGACCGCGACGGCAGCCGCACCGCTGGTACTGGTACCTATGGCCAGACCACTGTTGGAGGTGGAATCGGCGGTACCTCTGGCACCTCTGGCTTCTCCAGCGCCGGTACTGGTGCTCACGGCCCTTCTCACACTTCCGGTCTTCCTGAGGGTTCCACTGGCCCTCACAACTCTCGCGCTGCCAACGCTGCCGACCCTCGTGTCGACTCTGACCGCGACGGCAGCCACCAGCTTGGCAACCGTGGTGTTGGTGCTGGTGCTGGCACTACCAACTACGGGTCTTCCACCGGTACTCATGGTACTCACGGTACCCACGGTACTCAGGGCACCAGCATGGGCGGCGCTGGCGGCGCCTACGGCACTGGCCCTGCCCCCAACACTGCCGGTCCTCACAAGTCCGACATGTTGAACAAGGCCGATCCCCGCGTGGACAGCAACCTCGACGGCAGCAAGACTGTCGGCCGCGACAAGACTTTCGAGCGCTCGTAAGTCAACACGACCCGGCTGCGAACTCTCCCCCATACAGAAGATCAATCCTTAACACTATTTTTCTCCCTGTTGCAGGAACGACTATGCTGGCAAGGACCCCACAGATGCGGCTCAGGTTCCCCCCTCTGTCCTGCAGAAGCATGTGCCATCTGAGATCCATCATGAGCATGATGAGCACGATCACACGCGACGACACAGCGTTTCCCACCAGGAGAAGCACCGGGGCCTGTAAGGAGGATAAGGACGAGGATACTGTTATGACCTATGCATATGTACATTAGTACTTCTTATGATGCTTAATGACTACTACCGTTAAACAATTGTCTGCTTTTGCTGCCATGACTGTGAACACGTAACCAATTAGAGCAATGATTGAAGTTCTACAACAGGTCTAAGTGCCTTGGGAATAATTGACGGACTTTCATAATTGGCTCTGATCAATACTAACTTTCGTCAGGTTAGGAACCACAATACCTATTTGTCACTTACACGCGATAGTATGGAGTTTAGAGCAATCAACAGAAGTTCACCAAGATTTCACTCTGTCATGCACATCGAAATATTGGAGACTTGAAGCGTGAAATCTACTCCATACTCTATAAAACTTGGCGTAAATACCTATTTTCAAGCGGTTTCGTGATATTGTGACGTCCATAAGGCAGACCATGAGACACGAGGTTGATCGTTGTTGCCTTATCTAATCATCCTCTTCCCCTCCATGAAAGCTACCCTAGACAGCTGCCTGGACCCTAAACTGGACCTTCTTTCAACACCACCACGACATTCTACTCACTCACAACCTCTCTTCACCACCATCATCTCACCATGCCCTCGCCATAATGTCTTCCTCTTCGCCCATCCCCCAAGCCCTCTGGAACGCCCGCATCCCACTACACGTCACTCACCCTTCATCACCGACCACGCCATTCATCACCAGCGTCCCGCGCTTCAGCTACCTCGCCCTCCTACTGCCTCGGCTGTCGGCCTTCTTCGGATCTCCCTGCTCCAGCTTCCACTTTGAAGACGTCCAGCTGAGGAACCTGGCTGTAGGGCTGCTCGTCGACCTTTACCGCCCGAGTCTGCCGTGGAGGCTGACTGTCAACGATGGAGTGGGGTGGGATATTGCGGATACGTTTCTTAACTGTGTAAAAGAGGTGAGCTTGATGACATGTTTAGCACGGCTGTAGTACCTCGATTCTATCAGTCCCGCCTTGGAATGACATCACACTGCTGTCTTTCGACGCTCATCTCACTGCCAAGGCCTTATTCTGACATGATCTCAGGCCGACTTTATCCGCAATGGCAACGCAAACCAAATCATGAAAATGTCCAAAGACAACACGACTCAACTCTGGAACGCAGTCATAGACAACGACTATGCTTCATTCAACCGCATAAACGGTAGACTTCTCAACGCCCCCACGGCTCTCAGGCATATTCCGTTGCGCATCTACATCCCAACCTCATCAACCGGCCCAGATTCATCCCCAACACCTTCAGAATCTGGTACCTTCAAAATCGTTCAGTCGCTTGTACCTGTGTCGGGTTCTGATCGTCGACCAAAGCTACTAGGGCAAGCGCTTAAGGAAGTGCTTCCAGGGTTGTTCCCCAGCAGTCGAGATCCCATCCTCGCTAGGGTGGTGATGCATGGTGCTGGAGTACCCTTTGCTGCACCCTTGGAGGAGTTGATGAGAGAAGCAGCATATCCCGATGGATGGTTGTGCCTTGTTGTTATCGTGTTATAACGAGTTACTGGATTTGGCTGGCATAGCAGGGCGTATGGAGGCGTTTGGGACGCATTTAAATGTTTACTGGAGATGCGTTATATGACTACATTTCTTGTAGAGCCACTTGAAGTGCTCGTTAGATGATTGCTTTTGGATACACTTTGTTGACGCAAGTCTCTTGACAGCCCGCTAACTTATACAGACGCACCGGTCAGGATGTGATAATAATATTTCACTATGTAAAGGTAATCTTCTTTCCCATGAGGCTCTTGTACGCATCGTCAACGGCCTTCCTCTTCTTCCTTCTGACCTCCTCGTCCTCTTCGATTTCCTCCTCTTGATCAAAGTCATCGGGCCCAGGAATCTGAGGCATCCAAGCCCGAATCTGACCGTCCATATGGGAACTGTATATGGCACCGATCGAGTTTCCGCCTCCCATGACAGCACCAACTTGACGTCCGCTACCACCTGATCCACGCCAGACTATACTCGTTATGCGGTTTCTACCCATTTCTCCTCCTCGTGTGCCCACGGGATTTGTCACACCGGGACTACGGAGTCGAGTTATCATGTTGCCGTCATGAAGATCGAGGATGAGGATCTCTTGGTCATTCGGCCAGAAGAGAAACTCATGTCCAGTGGAAAGACTGGACGGAGACACCAACATACTGACAGTTTTTGCGTGTTGGTTCTGGATCAGCGAGCCAAAGCTTGCGAGGGTGTTGGCTCCCGTGGCAGCATCCCACACTCGAATGCGACGGTCCAAACCAGCCGAGATGATGTATTTACCATCATCCGTCCACTGGAGGCCATTTACCGCATCATCGTGCGCTTGCGCAGAAGCTCTAAACCGGGGTATTTGGTCGCCCATTCCCGCAGCAACAGCATGATTCATCTTATGGATAACCCCAAGAGAGTCTTCCTGATCGAGCTGCGCAATGACACCGCCAGCACGTCGAATATCCCATATCCGCACTTTTCCATCCGCATGCCCACTCGCAAGGATATGCTCATGTCGTGGACTCCACGCCGTCGACAGCACAGGACCACCATGAGCCACCAAGGCTTGCACCGCAGACCCAGACTTCAAGTCGACGAGACGCACGTTGGAATGCTGTGTAGCACATGCAACAACGAGATGGTCCGCGATGGGGCTCGTAGAGTGGGAGTATATCGTCGCGTTGAGGTCAAAGACGGCCGAGAGGGCGCATCGCTGCGTCGCCCACAGCTTCAGCTTTTTATCGTACGAGCTCGAGAGGAATGCGTCTGGGTCGAATGGATAGAATGCGAGATGCGTGATGCCGTGTGTATGTCCTGGGAATTTCCCGTCGTCTGTGGACCTCGCGATGCTGCTCACGGGGCGAAACGTGTGGAGGGCATGAGGATTCGCGCAGGCCTCGAGGTCCCAGATCTTGATGCCGCCCTCAGCGCCGCCCGAGAGGAGAACACGGCCATCGAACTTTTCAAGAGCAAGGCTGCTGACACCTGCGGGATGCGCGCGAATATTATGGGCGCGCTCGTCGACGCCAGCCGGGTCCGATCTCGGGGTCCTCTCGCCGTTGAAGCGATGCTGAGGCGCGGGCGCAAACGAGCCCAGAAGCTCTGTCGCGACGGAGCGGGTCAAGTCTCGGGGGCTGAGGTCGCCCGCCTCACGGGCAAGGAGGTTGGACAGCATTCATCTGAAGTGAATCGCTCGGGCGCAGGGAGAACAGGGACGAAGAGATTCAAAATGCGACGTGAATGTTAAAGGTTTGGAGTTGAGGCTTCCATCGTCTGGGGTTTGATGATGTCAGCTAAGTTCTGCAAGGGGACCTGCCTACCGCTCGCTACCCCACAATTGACCGCCTCAAACTTTGGCTTCTCAGCTTCAAAACTTGGACTCTTATTCTATTTCACATTATCACATGAGATGTCGGAGCTCGTCAAAATATCTGCTAATCATTCGAGACTCACTTAAACGCCATCCTCAGCTGCAACCCCAGAACCACAGTGAATACTGACAGACAATGCTTCACAACTATCGATGTAAAAGTGTCACATGCATCACCACACTTTTACCTTGAAATAAGGAACAGCTGGATATCCTGATCAAGACCTTCATACTTACCCAGTCGGAACCATGGAGAGCCCGAATGAGAGCACACGCGTCGTGCCAATTCTCAAGAGAGACACGTCGAATGAGCCAGAGACACCAGAACCTGAACACATTCTCACCAAGACATCACGGCGTCGACATGCAACCGTCTATGACGCTGTAGCAGGTGATGAAACCCACTCTCACGCACATGACACAAAACTCACGGAAACCAGGCAAAGTCTCATACGAACAGGGCCCAGGGACAGAACCAGAAGAGCCTCAGTACACGCCTCGCCACCCCAAGGCCATCAGATACTCCACCAAAGACACTCCCCTAGCACCCGACGAGGTTCTATTCCGCCGCAAGGACGCCCCGGAGCGCTACTTGGAGAACGACATCTACTACGCCCACGAGAGGCGCCTTCCCCGTGGCGGGCAGGGCGTCTTGCCAGAGAGTGATCTCCTCAAAGCCATCCACGGCTACGCGAGTGCCTTTTACGGCGCAAAGGACGGCAGTCGCAACGGCGGCCCGGATGAGCGGAGCATGGACGAGACAGCACTCATTGCGTTTGGAATCCTACTCGAAGAGGCTGGCAGGGAAGTCCTCGGCCGCCGTGGCGATCTGGTCTTCACGGAAGGCCAAGACGACGACGGAGAAGAAACGGCGCGCCAGGATGCCCGCATTGTCGGGCACGATGACGTCGAACTGCGGAGAGGTCCTAAGCGGAGAAAGGTCGATGCCGATGACGAGTGACTTGCCCCGTCTTGTCTCGGTTGGCAACGGTGGGCGAGAGAGAAGAGAAGAGATCGCCTCCAGAGTTGAAACTGGCTGGCACGGCTCAAGTGGGCAGTGTCTGGTACTTTTCCTGCCCCATTCAACAACCACTCACGTCGAGGAGCGAGTCCGTGATCGACATGCCAGACATCGGGAACCCTGCCTGGTCCGTGATCATACCGCTCCCAATATCTCAGCCTATATTGACGGGCTTCAAATGGCCTGAGATGATTTTTTGAAGCACGATTCGGGCGAGAGGCGGTTTTGAAAAAAAAATCCTGGTCGTAAGCTCAGTGGTGGAAGATATATCTCACCGCGCTGACGGTAGACGACTATTCGACGATATTCGAGCTCTCTCCAACGCCAGCTGTCAAGGAACAACGGAACCCGGTATAACGCCTTGGATGCAAGCCATTGGCCCCTCTGAGACGTTGCTTGTCTTATCAGGATCTGCTTTGAAATACGCGGAAAAAAGCACGGGTGCCGACTTGGGGATGTTTTCTTGGCAAGCATCGGAAAACCACCTGACCGATACATAACAAACGATGCGGAGGAGATCTTCAGGAGGCTGAGTCTCGGCCTAACGTCAGGTTGTTGTTTCTGCCGCGGTTCTCGTGAGCCGCTCACTTGACCAGGGATACACCAACCGCCTT